CCACAGATGCTGCCAGACCTGCTGAGCTTTTCCAGCAACTTTGTTTTTGTTCCTGATTTACAGCATCTGCAGTTCTTTTGGTTTTTCCTTCTGATAGTGTGTTGGCCAGACTGCACACAGATTTTGTTCTGTGACCAACGTTTTATAAAGTTGTAACAAGACTTCCTTGCTCCTATATTCTACGCACTGGCTAATGAAGGTAAGCAACCCAAATGCCTTCTTCACCACACTCTACCTGTGCTGACACCTTCAGGGATCTACGTACTTGAATTCTGTTCCTCAGTACTCCCTCGGAATCTACCATTCATTATGTAAATCCTTCCTTTGTAAGACCTCCAAAATGCATCATCTCACACTTGTCAGGATTAAATTCCATTTGCCATTGCTCTGCCCAATTTACTTACTGATCAATATGACTGTTGCCTGAGACCATCCTCCTATCAACAACACCACCAATGTTTGTGCAAACTTAGTAATTATACCTCCAACATTCAAATCCAAGTGATTAATATACAACAAGCAGCAAGGGTTCCAGCACTGATACCTGTGGTACACTCCTGGTCACAGGCTTCCAATTACATAAACCACCCTCCACCATCACCCTTTGCCTCCTGTTTGTCGCTAGTGTAGGGAGAAGCAGTGATACCATTCCTAACTGATATGTCGTGACACATGCATGTAGCTATGCATATGTCAATGTCACCCAGAGTTGCCCTTAAGCAAGGTATCATTGATCAGTCCTTTGAGGAGGTGGGACATCATGTTGAGGTTGTACAGGACATTGGTGAGGCCTCTTCTGGAATACTGTGTCCAGTTCTGGTCGCCCTGCTACAGGAAGGATATTATTAAGCTGGAGAGGCTTCAGAAGAGATTTACCAGGACATTGCCAGGTATGGAAAGTTTGAGTTATAAAGAAAGGCTGGATTGGCTGGGAGATTTTCCACTGGAACGTAGGAGGTTGAGAGGCGGCCTTATAAAAGTTCATAAAATAATGAGGGGTATAGAAAGAGTTAACAGTAGTTGTCTTTTCCCTAGGGCAGGAGATTTCAAGACTAGGGGCCACATTTTTAAGTTGAGGCGAGAAAGATTTAAAAAAGACATTGGGGGGAATTATTTTACACAGAGGGTGGTCCGCGTGTGGAATGAACTTCCTGAGGAAGTGGTGGATGTGGGCACAATTACAACGTTTAAAAGACATTTGGATAAGTACATGAATGGAAAAGGTTTGGAAGGATATGGTCCAGGAGCAGACAGGAGGGATTAAGGGTCTGTTTCTGCATTGTATGAGTCTATGACTGCCCACACTCATAGCCAATGGAGCCAATTCCACCCTTAGCCACCATCTAGACAAATGCACGTTGCATCAAGAACCACCTAACAGGAATCAGATGTCGAACCCTGTCTGTTTCTTTTCTGTCTTCTAGTCCAGTGTCATGACAG